TCTTTGCCAACACAGAATGTTTGTCTTCGTCTACATCCATCTCGACCTCCTTGTTTACTGTTGTGCTGTACCACAAAAGAGACCCAGACAGGCGCTTGAGTTTGACGTCATGGCTTCACAGCTCTTCGGTACAACTTCCAGGATTCTTGAAAACCACCTAGTGTATTCTGATTCCTGACCTGGGCGCTGGAGAGAAATGAAATTGAGTGGAGGCACAACTGTAGGCTGTGGCTAGAAGAATATTGGCAACTCCAGGGTAGAATTCATCAAAATGATTCTAGTAAAGGCGTGTGGACTTTTAAAACACACTGGAGCACTTCCTGTATTACCACATGACATCACAAGGTGGGACAGAGTGTTTTTGCTTGAGAAAAGAACTCAATCTAAATATGCAGGATGTGTAGTTTATGTGTAAATGAAACAAACACAAGTCCAGGTCTGTTTGTGATGAGGAAACATTATAACATAGAAGAGAAAGTGGCTTGAAGCAGTGTGTGGTTCAGATCTTACCTTAGTGTACAGTGTGACCTGGGGCTGGTCGGGGTCTAGCTCCTTCGTGGTCTCTTCTTCGTTCTCTGAGGCCGATGAAGAGGAAGAGGAGGAGGATGACGATCTGCGGGAGTTCGCCCTATTATCCACCTCGTCAATCTCCTTGTGCTCCCAGGCCAGGTCCATGGTGACGGCTTGGCTCTCCAGCTCCTCCTCCTCCTCCTTCGTCCACTCCTCTATCCCATGGTCCTTCACTTCTTCTTCTTCTTCTCGCTCTTCTTCTCCTTTCTCAGACTTGGAAGACGACTTGGATGAAGAAGATGAAGAAGAAGAAGATGAAGAAGAAGAGGAGGCACTGTCCCGTCTCTGATCTAAAGAAAACGGTAAATTCAGTTATTTTTTACTTACTTGATGTTTTTTTTGTTTTTTTTTTTACAGGTGCGTTATGTCACTTTTCTCCGTGGAGATGTTACTACTTTGTCTGGAATGTTTCACACTATGGCATTAAATCTTCCTGACCAAACCAGACCAAGTTACAGGTCAGATCTGTGGAGAGGCGACCCCGCTCACAGTCAGAACGCCTGTTTTTAAGGGTATTTTTGAGCAATAAAACCATCTGTAACTGAATAAATTTAAGTTGGTACTGTTTAATGTCACACTGCGGAACATTCCAGAGCACTGACATATCCATGGAAACAAGCAGATGGCGGACCGTCCTCCAGAAAAGTTACACAATGCATCTTTATTAAATGACTCGACTGTAAAATGAATGAATGAAATGAATTCAACAATTACATATATCCAAAAAAAATCATTGAGTAAACAAAATTGGACCAAAAAAAAAATGAAATTGAGTAAAATATGTCAAATAAGTGCATTAAAGCCACAGGATGTAACTTTTTGGCCAAATAAGACTCAAATAAAAGCATGTTTATTTTCATTCTGGTTGTGTTTATTGCACTGAAAAACTGAAAAATTACATCTTAAAGTCATTTAAAGTCTTTGGGGTTGAACAAGGACACCACTTCCTGAAGCTCAATTCCCTTTTGAACTTTGTGCCAGTTTTTGTTTCATGTGGATAGGCAAGGTAATTACAGAGATATATTAACCATAAACAAGGTCAACAAATCTGCAATCTGACAGTTTAAAGGTCCTATATATAACACTAAATGCACTCTTGTGAGCTTTATGCCAGGCTCAAATGTGGTTACCTCATCGGAAACACACCTGGAGTAGTGTTTTTGTTTCATTCACACACGTTTGACACTCAAGTTATTCTCTCCGACTCTCAAAATGCTCTGTTCCACCTTGTGATGTCATGCAGTTATAGTAGTTTTCAAGTTAAAAGCTGCATTTTACTTTTAGTTCAACAGAAATATGCATTTCCAGGGTTGAAATTATCCAAATGATTCCAGTGAAGGTGCATGGCGTTTAAAAACACCACACGATATGACAAGGTGAAATGTTCTGTTCCACTTTGTGATGTCATGAAGCTGTAGTTTTCACGTTAATAGCTGCATTTTACTTTTAGTTCAATAGAAATATGCAATTCGAGGGCTGAAATTATCCAAATAATTCTCGTGAAGGTGCGTGGAGTTTAAAAACACCACCTGATATGACAAGGTGGAATGTTCTGTTCCACCTTGTGATGTCATGAAGTTGTAGTTTTCAAGTTAACAGCCACTTTTTACTTTTAGTTCAACAGAAATAGGCAATTCGAGGGCTGAAATCGTCCAAATAATTCTAGTGACGGTGCATGGAGTTTAAAAATACTACATGATATGACAAGGTGGAATGCTCTGTTCCACCTTGTGATGTCATGAAGCTGTAGTTTTCACATTAATAGCTGCATTTTACTTTTAGTTCAACAGAAATGGGCAATTCCAGCTCTGAAATTATTGAAATTATTCTAATGAAGTTGTGCGAAGTTTAAAAACAGCGCAGAGAAGCACTTCCTGTATCATCACATGAAATCACAAGGTGGAACAGGGAGAAGAACTCAGCCTAAATATGCAGGATTTGTGTCATTAAACATGCATGAATGAAACAAAACACAACTCCAGGTGTGTTTTTGATGAGGAAACGTTATAACACAGATCAGAAAATAACGTAAAATGGACCCTTTAATGGCAAATTCAACCATAAAATTTGAAACTACAGAGATTCAGTAAAATAAATAAAGAGTTTAATAGGGTTTTTGCCACAGACCTGTTGGTGGCTCGGGCGGGGGCGATGACGGGGGCTCCGGTATATCAATACGACGTCCTGTATTCTCATAATGTACTTCCATATCACTCGGTTCCTCGTAGACGACTTCAGAGGTGTCAGAAGTGACCTCTTCGTAAATCGCCCCGTCGGGGTTCTCGTACGTGTTGTCAGCCATGTTGGGAAGGTCAAACCGGAGAAGGTAGAGGTGCAGACAGTGAGGAGTGGCAGTGCCAAAGCGGAGTGATGGTAGTGCCCGCTGTGCCTACCTTATCAAAGAGGACTCCAGAAGGACTTTGAACAGGGATCGACCAAAGATACAAGGGGGTTCTTAAAGGAGAATGCAGGGTAAAAGTACATGGGCAGATAGTGCAGGGCAAGAGCACGTTCAGGTTTTTGTGAATTCATTAATAAAAGAAAATTTATTTGACCATTGTGGAAAATTCATAACAGTAATAACATAAGGAGCTTGTGTTGTTAGTAGTAGTAGTTGTAGTACTAGTATTAGTAGTGATAGTCATAGTAGTAGTAGTAGTAGTAGTGGTGGTGGTAGCGGTAGTAGTAATTATAGTAGTAGTAGTAGAAGCAATTGTAGTTGTAGTAGTAGTAGTAGTAGTAGTAGTAATAATAGTAGTAGTAGTTGCAGTAGTAGTAGTAGTAGTAGTAGTAGCAGCAGCAGCAGCAGCAGTTGTAGTAGTAGTAAAGGTAACAATAACAGTACTAGTAGTAGTAGTAGTGGTAGTAGTAGTAGTAGTAGTACTAGTACTAGTAGTAGTAGCTATAGTAGTAGCAGTAGTAGTTACAGTAGTAGTAGTAGTAGTTGCAGCTGCAGTAGTAATGATAGTAGTAGTAGTAGTAGTAGTCGTAGTAGCAGTAGTAGTAGTAGTGACAGTAGTAGTAGTAGCAGTAGTAGTAATAGTAGTAGAAGCGGTAGTAGTAATAGTAGTAGTAGTAGTAGCAGTTGCAGTAGTAGTAAAGGTAACAATAACAGTACTAGTAGTAGTAGTGGTAATAGTAGTAGTACAAGTTCTAGTAGTAGTATCAGTAGTAGTACTAGTTACAGTAGTAGTAGTAGTAGTTACAGTAGTAGTAGTAGTTGTTACAGTAGTAGTAGTAGTAGTTACATTAGTAGTAGTAGTAGTACTAGTAGTAGAAGTAGTAGTAGTAATAGTAGTAGTAGTTACAGTAGTAGTAGTACTAGTAGTAGTAATAGTAGTAGTAGTAGTAGCAGTTGCAGATTTTGGTTATTGTATAATGAATTAAAAGTTTCTTGTCTTAAAATAATAATTGAATTTGTTTGGATAATTCCAGGAGTGAAAAAGCTCCAGCAAACCGACCTACAAAATCAAATATCATATAAGAATTACATTTCCTGTTTCCAAGACTCCAAAAACTAACACAATTAGATTAAACTCTGAATCTTCCCCGACTCCTCACAGCAGAGTGGATCATAACACATAAGATTTAATGGCCGTATCTGATTAACCTTGTATTGAATGTAGAAGCTGTAAAAGAGGAGTGGCTCTCATAAAAGTCAGAGAGTGAACAAGGCTGAGATTTAGAGATAACAAGACTGAAGCAACTATAAAACTTCATCTGAAAAGTAAACTAATAGTAGGTGTAGTGTATCAAGGACATTTACTATCATTTTGAAAATAAATACACAGCAAAATTTCAATAATACTTCAAGGAAATCGCAAAATATTGAGTAAGATCCTGCATAGAAGAAACCATATTGACTATAAATGTTGTCTTACTGCCCTCTAGAGGTGAAAACTGGAATTGCGAAAACTGAAACCGCTCTAATATCATCAAATACAACATTGGATTAAGGATTTAAAATACGTTTACTTTTCATTTCGTGCTAGAAAAGTAATAAAAAATACATAAAGGCTTGGGATTTTTAAAAATTACTGCAGAATTGCGAGAAACTTGTATACGGATAGTTCAATAAGAATAATTGCTGCTACGTACTGAGACATATTAAAATTGCATTAACGCATAAATATTAAATGCTATTGGGATTTTCTTCGCCTGGAATGTTCCACAGTATGAAAATGAACTTGTTTATCTCCATGGAGACAAACGGGAGATGCTACCAAGCAGTTACAGGTCATATCTGCGGAGAGTTCGACCCTGCTTACAGTAAGAATGTTTGTTATTAGAAGTATTTTTGAGCTATATAAAACTTGTAATTAAATAAATGCACTTTAGATATGTTTAATGCCATACTGCGGAACTTTCCAGGCAAAGTTACAGCATCTCCATTGTGGCAGACCGCGCACAAGGAAAGTTACATAGTGCACCTTTTTTTTAAATTGTAAATCTGTATATTTTTGTGCTCTTCAGTCTCTTGCAAATGTCCAAATGTTGATAAAAATAAAAATGATAATACTGTTGGTTAAGATTGTAGTAGTTAGTTTGGATCCGGCGCCGCGCAGAGGAGACATGGAGGAGAAAATGGCGTTGCTCTCGTTTCGTGGGACCCAGAGGTTACAGATGTTTCCTTCACAGCATGAAGAGCAAACCTGAAAAATTAAATTCAAATTATTTACATTTTAATTCCAGATTTTGTGTCCTGATTTGTTTGAAAATTATAGATATAAATAAACTTAACCTAATTTTTGAACAATATTTGGTATAAGCAGCACTTGATAAAATAAATCTGCTGTGTCCTTTCTTATTGTAAATGTTTTATTGTCAGATAATCAGGAAGTGTGTGTTAGCATGCTAGTTGTTGTTAGGTTTATCATCATGGCAAAACTCCATTTAGGATGCTCTGAATGCATAAGGTAAGAGAGAAATAACTTTGGACCACTACAAACCATTTAAAATGGACAAATTTTAATTTTTTCAAGTTTTTAAGACACTAAAATCAGCTACAGAAACTTTTATATAATTAAGTATAACAAAATTTAATAAAAAAAAGTCAGGTACAGAGAGTTTAACATAATTTTGTATGATACGATTTAATAAAACATTTACTGTAGGAAAAATGGAAGCAGTTAATAACTTTTATAGTATACTGTTTTTATATGCAGTACATAAGAGCTTAATATTAATTTTCAATAGATTTCAATTGTTTACGTCGGTAACTGAAGGTACATTTTGTTAGTTAGACTTAGATTTATTGATCCACAAGGGAAATTACTCACAGATCACTTTATATTACAATAACACAGAGTAAAAAATTTAATAAAAATTACTTTATTAATTCTGGTAATGACAGTAAGTGTAGTAATAACACAATACTTCTAAGGACATTGTATTCCTTAAAATAATAGTCACATTTTATTTGGTATATGTTCCAGTGTTGTAATTACTGAACAAATTAGCATTGAATTTCAGAAAAATAAAGTACGGTTTGAGCTGGTATTAGAGCTGGACTGACCTGCTGTCCGTTATGAGCGAGGGGAGCACATCCAGTGAAGCGGCACTCGTCCAGACTGGCACAGCGTTTGGACACGGACACACTGTTCCCCGCAGAGTCCATAACATGAAGAGTGTAGCAGTATCTGGTCTCTGTAAACATAAATTCAACCTTATCAGTTTAAATACAAGATTAACAAAAGGCAGAATAAAGTAGATGTTTGTTTGACCTTTGGGGCAGTAGAGATCAGGAGCCCAGCGGTTGCACTCGTAGTTGTCTTTTGCTTCTTGACATGTGAAGCACTTAAAGCCGCCGGGATGGGGAGTAGCTGAAAACAACAAAAACTAAACCTCACTAAGAATTCACGTCTTTAAAGATCATTGTGCAATAAAAACACCAGAGTAAACCCCAGTTAGACAAGTTTAATGCGCACTTGAGGGATGTAAGTGGACGATGTCGTTGGCAGTGAAGTCTCGGGCTTCAGTTTCCTCGATCATTTTGGACACGGTGGACAGCAGCAGGACACAAGCCATCGGCCAACACTGATGCATCCTGGGACTTCAAACACTAAGGGAAAGCACAATAATATCTGTAATTTGTTGGACTATGTGCAGTAGCATCCACATGATAAAAAAGAAATAACATAAAGAAAAGAGAAATGATTATGAATATGCAATAATACAATTTTTGGGATAAACAATAAGATCTGCCAATATTTTTAGCTGAAATTTTGGGACGATTAGAATTATTTTTCTCAAACTAAGTAATTTAAATGTACTACAAACTCACCCTGGGCCCTTTTTTTAACCACAAACCTATAACAGAGCTCTTTAGTAACATTTTGTACAGTTATCTCGTGTTAAAGTGCTAAAACAAGCTTTGTGTGCTGGGGTGTAGCACTAAATTCTTACCCAGGCTGCTCAATTTCATTTCTCTCCAGCGACTAGGTCAGGAATCAGAATAAACTAGATGGTTTGCAATGACCCCAGAAGTGCGAGTTCAGGCACCAGCCAATCAGCAAAGAGCAATACATTCTGTGTTGGCAACGATTCCCGAGATCAAGGATTTAAAGATGGAACAAAGAGAATGTTTGGTGAATTTTATCAAAGGGAAAGATGTTATTGCCCTTCTTCCTACGGGATTTGGGAAAAGCTTAATATACCAATTAGCCCCGTTAGCGGCGCATTACATACAGTCACGACCAAATAGCAGCGATTGGTTAAATATAAAAAAGGAACCTGCCTATCCTAATGCTGCGAGGTCAGACGGTTTCCACAAAGTGAAACCTGGTGATGAAACAAACTACCAAATTATGGACCCTGGAAGCAAATCATCTTAGTTGGCTCACACTACATGTTAATTTAGAGAAAAATGCACACTACAGACTTTGTGAGGGACCTTTCGTTGCACTGGACCCAGGGTAAACAGTGCCTTTTACCCCCCCAGTCCTATGCCTCTGTTTGTGTATATTTTTTAGGCATCAGATCGCCCAAAACAAAATATTGGCCTGAGCTGGTATGTTAAAAAGTCCAAATATCGGCCTGATATATCGGACTAACCACATATACAACACCAGTGCGCATTATCAACGGTAGGAAATGGACTTGGCATTTAATGAAAATATCTAATTTCCTTTTCTGCTCAAGAAACAATCCAGATTCTTTACATTACCAATAGGTGGCAGCAAAGACTACATGTTAAACTGCAGGACCAGATTGCACACACACGGATAGAGAAGCACGTTATTGGGGCGTGGATAATGCAAAGAAAACAAGCATTTAGGAGCACACTGCATTGACACGGAGCCCCCCCAGGACATGCCACATAATATGAAGAAATGAAGCATCTCCAGGAGTCAATGCACGAGATCTGTACTGGTCCCAGTTCAGACACAAACCAGGTCACTGGGTTTGGCCCTTATTAACTCCATACATCTCTGTCAGCTCAGCCACAGCAGGGGTGGGCAATTATTTTTTCCACAGGGCCACATGAGAAACAAAAGATATTGTGGAGGGCTGGGCTAAAATGCTTAACTCAATTCTGCATAATATTAATTGTATTTCTTTATAAAAAGCAGTAAATAGCACTGTTTTGATGAGCTGGTAAGAAGAGTAAATGTTAGGATTAAGCAATAAAAAAGTGAGGTTTGCTAACAAAAAATGCCTCAAAATTAAAATCAATGCAGCTTTAGTCCATGCATGAAATAAATTGATAAAATATATGTAGTTTGTAATTCCAAATGAGCTTAAACGGGCCGGTCAGAGTCAACAAAAGGGACGTATGTGGCCTGGAAGCTGTAAAATGCCCAGGTCTGAGCTATAAAAACCTACTACCACACTAACAGACTGTTTCTAAAAATAAATTATAATAGGGTTGTCAAAAGTATCAAAAATAAGATACTAAACGAAACTAGAACTATTATCAAAGCTAGATACTCATTTGAGCAGGTATCAATGCTAAAAAAAGCACATTTAAAGGACAGAAATGATCGTTTTCTGAATAATTTTAGAATCTTGAGCTGTATCAGAACAAGTATAAGAGCACTATGTGACCTTCCTGGACCACTGAGGGATTACACAGATATAAATATATAAAGAAAGTGCTACGAATTTAATGTTGAAAATCACATTCTATTGTCTAAAGAAAGATTTTTATTCTCATTGTGGTATTGAAATTGGAGTATCAAGTCTATTCCTTATTCTAACATATTGTTTTGTTAATTGGACGTTTATTTTAGATTTTTTGGTGGTATATCAGCATGGATTTATTGAAAAACTAAGCTAAAATTCCAGTGTATTTTGCGACTGAATAAAATTTATAATAAAACCGTGGCCTTGCAAATCCAGTCTGATACTTGTGTTAATTAATCTCCTTACAGTGGCTGGGGTTGGTGCATGGTTCTACTGTAGAAAAGTGAGATTACCTTTGAACCAGAGTCTAAACCAGGACCTCAAGAGCTGGATTAGCCCCCAAATCAGAGCCCTTCAGTTGGGAGCCTTTATTAAAACCTGGCTTCAATCACAACCAAGTTCCCTCTTCACATCCTGGGGTAATTGAATGCTAAGAGGAGCAAAACAAACAAAAAAAGACCAAATCCTGCCCTGACAACAGTGAAAATAGGTTAATTAAAATGTGTTGAAGGTAGGCTATGTGTTATAAAGCTACCCAACGTTTAAAAAAATATAAAACATGAAAATTAGACAAGGAAAGAGGAAACCAGACAGTAATTAATAGTTGATAAGGTCGTGTCTCTTTCTAATTGCAGTATGGAGTCTGGCCAATTAACCAAACGTTGCGCACAAAAGCCAAAATTACGCATATGAATATCTTGATGATAATATAATGTAATAATAATTTGAAGTTAGACTATATTTATCTTCGAAAAGTGCATTCAATTATGTTACAAATCTGTAGACTAAAGCATCTCTAGTTGATCGTTCAGAAATAATTGGGAAGTAGTTGAATGAGTATACGGGCAAATTTAACAATTTACATTAAAAAACACATTGCAAGTTATTATAATTTGCGACAAATATAATAAAAAATGAACTCACCTAATTTTATGCGGCTGGTTTGGGAGGATTGGCAAAAAAATGTCGCGTGTTAGTGCCAGTGGTAGTGTTCTTGACTCCTTTGAAGACTGTGCGACTGAAATACTCCAAAAACTATAATTGCATATTTATTTTGTGCGGTTTTAGCGTCAAATCACCCTCACAGAAGATCGATTTCAAATGCATCGCACTGAGAGAGCATAAAACATTGATTTCTGCATTAAAAGCTACTAAATTATTCAATATTGTTATTAGACCCGCCTCTAAATGGTTTTCTAGACGCTGATTGGCTGTCAGAGATATCAATCATATTTGCTTGGCAAGCGTCGGTTTAGTCAAGTTACGTCAACGAGAACAAATGTTGTTTCAAAATAAAAGACAATGCAAACAGCAGTACATATTTTATTGTTTTATTTGATGCATTTACGATATTAAAATACTAAAATGAATGATATTTAATTTTATAGTGTAAAGTTTGTTTTATAAGCCAAAATTAAACTTTGGTGCGTTTCTTTTTTATAAACCGGAAATCATAAAATACAAACCGGAAGTCAATATTAGGTGTTTAGTTAACTTGACAGCGCTCCATTCTGGCTTCTTGTCGAGGAAGTTCATTGATAATGTCGTGAAAAAAGCGATAGTGAAACCGGACAATTGTTGAAGAGCATTTGTTTGGAGGACTTTCAATCCCGATCCCATTACAAGGTGAGAAAATCAGCGCGAATGTTGCTTTATGCTACTAACATTAGCTAGACGTGCCAAAAGTGTCCACTTGCAGCAGGTGCTAACCAGTTTGTTTACATCACTTTCTTTACAAAAATCAAAAATCCTCAAGGTATGAACAGTCCTGCGTATGAAATCGATATTTTTGCACGTATGATCAAAGTTAAGCAATGCGAATTCCTAAATAATAAGTCTGATTTTCATGACTTCCTGCTTGCATTTCAATGTCTTGGTGTTTTTTTTACCTTGTTGAACCCGCAAACAATCTGCGTCATGCCTTTGTTATAGTGGGGGAGGTTTTTTGTACAATTGAAACGATCAAACAAAGTACTAATAGTTGTGAAAGAGTAATAAGAGAAGCAGATCCAGTTCATGTAATTATAAATATGTATATACATGCAAATCTGCTATTACAAATTAAAATTTATGAAACTGGATATGCTTGTTTCCAGTAACATGGGAACCAGTAATTTGGCAACAGTATTCTCAGTATCTCAGGATAATTATTATTAGGTTAAGATGAATGAGTTATATTATTATTACTACTATGTGTCAGACCAGTTTTTGTGTGTTTTCCATTCTTTCTAATCTAATCTAACCCATGATTTAGGTATGATTAAGACTAATGGTATTATAACACAGTAGGACTGTTGTCTGTTGCAACATATTTTGTGATTTTTAGCCATTGCAGTATTGCCAAAACTGGTAAATACACTACTAGTATTTGTGTAGTTGTATTAGTACTACATTGAATTTATTATATTTGAAAGTCATTTAGTTATAGACTATAGGACCACACAGCTTTCATAACTGGTAACCCAAAAAATTACAGCGGAAATAACCCATTTTTGTACCATTCAAAACCACAACGGACTTCTTCAGGGGAAACCTGGTGTTTTCTGTCCATCTTCATATTCAGTTCTGCATGGGTGAGAATTTCAATCGTATTGCAATTTACATAAATCAAATAAAAGTTAATTTATTATATTCATCCATTATTTATAGATATTTTACATACCTGTGCGCTAAACTTTACCTCTTTGCCCCAGTTATTCAAACAGTATTTTAATTTTTGTTAGTCCACAGATACAATTTACCCACTTTACTACACTATGTTTTGGATAAATTTCAGAAGAGACTGTAAAAGTTAAAATTGCAAACTTTAGGTGATGCTGACAAAAATGAAAATGTCATTATTTATTTTTTAACTTTCCCAAGACATATGCCTGTGAATATTTGTGCTGAGGTTGGCATGAAAATTGAAAGTAAAAGAAATATAACCTTTTATATATATTGGATATTCTTTAAATAGGTCATTAACATTCGCTGGGGATGTGATGCTAACTGTGGGCTCTACTCTGTCTGCTTTGTTAGAATTTAATCCGTGGTTTATTTTAACACAATGTGACCATAAAGACCTGATTTAGCTGGAACTACGACAGGTCACCCGATTCGTGCTGGTAAACAAGCCTGTCAGATATGAAATTACAGTCACAAGCCAACACTTTTTAAGTTACTCTCTCAGTTTTTTTAGAAATCAAACTCGTAAACAGTATCATGAACACTCGTATTGATCACAGGCTCCTGAAAATGTGCTGTTTGAATCCATTTTGTGTTTTTCACTGGGGTTTGCTGACTATCTTGACACTTTTTGACAGTGTTTGCTAATGTGCTTAGTGTCACGTGGTTACAGAAAGAGAAAGAAAAAGACAGAGACAGAGACACTTTATTCCACAACTGCTGAAGATTCCACCATTAGCGATACATGTAGAACTCTCCCAGCATGATGTCACTGCAAAATATCAATTACAAACCTGTGTTGTTGTTTTGTTTTTTCAGGATGTTGCTTGCTCAATCACTGTTGGGTTTTCTGTGCGCGGTAACAGCTGTAGCCGCAGGCACGGATGGAGCAGGTTCGACCGGTCCTCCTCCTCTGCTGCTCGTGTCTTTTGATGGTTTTCGAGCGGATTACCTCAAAAGGTTCCCCATGCCCAATCTGAAGAACCTGTACAGCCAAGGGGTCCTGGTGGAGCAGATGACCAATGTGTTTGTCACCAAAACTTTCCCAAACCACTACAGTCTGGTAATGCTATGCTCTTTTGGAATGATAATGTGCACTTAACTTTTCGATTGAGGTTTCATCATCTAATTATTTCTTTTAAACAGCTCTAGTTTTTGTTTACTCAATTACAGGGGGTTTCCTTTTCAAAAATACCTAGAAAAACTGATATTCTGACTGTGAGCGAGGTTTCCTCTGTGAAACTTTTCAGAGAAAGCCATAACATCTGCACAGAGAAAAGAATCTGACGGACCCCACACTAGAAAAGTTACACAGTGCATCTTTAAACAGGGTGTGGCACTGGTGGTTAGGATGTTTATAAGACTGCAACTAATGATTATTTTAGTAATCAACTAGGCATGGAGTGATTATTGTGATTACAGTGGTTAGTCAAATGATTATTCATATTGTACATTGGAATTTTTCATATATTTTTAAGCAAATAAAGGTTGAAACATGGCGACTTAAGGCTAAATGCAAAGAGAACGCTTCCAAATAAAGTGTGTTTTTAAGCAAAATAAGGTAACGCTCTTGTTCTTTTTTGACATTTTGATTTATTCATGCTTTTGTATCATCCATATAACGATTACAATGATCAAAACATGAATAATTGATGCAGATCTAGATGCATAAGGCACAAAGTGAGCATGAAACAGGAAAAAAATGTCCTCAGCCACTGAACTAATCACTTATATTAGAGCTTTGAAGTAGAGTAATGCAGCTTTATCACTGGTCATATGCTTTTTTATCACAAGGTCAAAGCTGTTTTATTTCCAGGCCTAACGCAAAATGGATCAGTTTAAAGCAAGTTCATTATTAATTTGGATATTTGTTATAGAAAAAGTCGAATTTTATTGTTAAAGGTGCATTGTGTAACTTTCCTGGTCCGAGGGTCCGTCAAATGCTTGTCTCCATGGAGATGTTATTGCTTTGCCTGGAATGTTTCGCAGTATGGCATTAAACCTTTCTACCTTCATGGAGACCAAACCAGACCAAGTTACAGGTCAGATCTGTGGAGAACCAGAATGTCTGTTTTTCTTTGTATTTTTTTGAGCTATAAATGTAAAGTAGAGCTGTTTAAAGTCATATTGTGGAACATTCCAGGCAGAGCAGTTACATATCCACAGAAACAAGCAGGTGCCAGACCCCCAACGAAAAAGTCACATAATGCACCTTCACGTTTATTAAATATAAATATTATTTATTTATCTTTTATTTATTTATTCAAGTCGACACAGTAAATATTGTAACAGACGTACATGTGTTTACAATGTTATGTCTAATCTCCGTATGTTTTCAGGTCACAGGGCTTTATGCAGAGTCCCACGGCATCATTGCCAGTAATATGTACGACCCCGACACCAAAAAGGTCTTCACCGTTGCCAACAACACTGACCCCTCCTGGTGGAGCGAGGCGGAGCCCCTCTGGATCACAGCTCTGGACAAGTACAAGACGGCGGCCATGATGTGGCCCGGGTCCGAGGTTGTGATCCACAACCACACCGCAACGCACTTCCTCCCGTACAACGCCAACATGAGCTTCAGCGAGAGGATGGGCAACGTCACCAAGTGGTTAACTGGAGATGGAAATGTAAGAGGATTTAAGAACTTTTTAGATGCATACTACACATTTTTTATTTTATTTTTTTTCTGGAATAGAAATCTCTTGCCTGTATAATCCGTTTGTCATCCAGGTATGGTCCACAGTAAAATGTGAAATAATATTTATGTATTTATTTATTTGTCTATCATCTCTGTCACTTTATATCTCAGCGGTTTTCTCTCAAACTCTCTAGCCCTACACATTTATTTGAACAGTTTTAATGTATGTATTTATATATTTATTTTCTTTCCTTTGTGTGTAAATTGCTGATTCTTTATCTTCATCTTCTTTTCATCTTTTATTTTTTATCTTCTTTATCTCTTTCAATCACGCGTTCACATCAGGACTTTCCAATATGGCAGTTGCTTTAAAGAAAAGTTGTTTAATAAATGATTTACCTGCTTATAACCACAGCTTGTTACGTTACACTTACACTTATAATGTATGAAATGGAAATAAATAGGGGTGTAACGATTTCCAAGTCTCACGATACGATGTTGTCACGGTATGGAACACATAGTACGATATTTATTGTAATATCATAGCAAAGCTCGCGATATGGTGGAGAGGCTCACGATTAGGGATGTAAGAATATCCAAATCTCTCGGTACGATATTTTCACAATATACATCTCAAGGTACTATAGTTATTGCGATATTTTCTGTTAATATGCTACTTTTTCCTTTTAAAATACCTTGACAATACTTAATCCAAAGAACTAAGACTTAAAAGTGCTTAGAACTGTTATTTCTTCTTGTAGTCTACGCTGAAATGGAGCAAAGGATCATGGTCTATGTAGTTCCCACTGTCTTTCTTTTTTTTTTATTCATAGCTGCACCATAACTCTTAATTTAAGCAAAGAGACTTGTAATTCGATTTTATTGTGAGAACTCTGACGATACGATATCACGATATTTCGATTATGGTTACATCCCTAGAAATAAGTATGTTGTTGCATTTATAAATGATAATTATAATTGGTGCATTTGAAAAGCTTTGTTATTTGCTTTATTCTCTCAGGAAGAAGGAGTGAAATTCGCAGCTTTGTACTGGGAGCAGCCGGACGCCGCTGGACACAAATATGGGCCTGACAACACCACGATATTGGGAGAAATTCTCAAACAGGTACTGACCACAGCAGACTGCAGGATCGTATTTAACATTTGTGTGTGGGAGTACGCAAAAAATATCAAGTACTTATAGTTATTGACCCCGACTACTATGAGAACTACCACTTTGGCTACTCAATTTATGGCCAATATCCTTTCCAAAGCTTCCATATTACTAAAACTAATACTATAAGCCACTATTTAAACTACTACTACTAGTGGTACTTTATCTTGTCAATAATAAAACTGAATGATTTCAACATTTGTAGTTTTTTTTCAATGGTACGTTTCTTTTGTTATGTTTGTTTGTTATATTTTGTTATATTTTCCCTTATTTATCTCTTATTATTATTCAGTTGATCTTTTAATTTTGATAGTTCCTTAATTTCTTTCTTAAGATTTTTTGTTGTGATATAAAATACATATTACTCTTATTATTATATTATCATACTAACAAATTTGTATGCATTTAACTTGTATTTTGATTTGATAATTTGGGTTTCCTTTCTGTTGTGCTATAAAGTAAATCTCATTATTCATTCTTGTGTGCGTTTAGGTGGATGATGACATTGGCCTGGTGGTGTCCGAGCTGAAACAGGCCGGTCTTTGGGGTCAGATAAATGTGATCATCACCAGTGACCACGGCATGACCCAGTGCTCCCCCGATCGCCTCATCAGACTCGACCAGTGTCTGGGGCCAGACAACTACACAGTGGTGGACGTCACGCCTGTGGCAGCGATCATACCAAAACAAAGTACCTATGCTTTTTTAGACCTCGTACAGACCTGGTTTAAACCTGGTTTAGCTCTAGTTTTGTCCTAGATTAGTCCTGGTTCAGTCCTAGTTTTGTCCTAGTTTAGTCTGGTTCAGTCCTAGTTTAGTCCTGGTTTAACCCTAGTTTTGTCCTAGTTTAGTCCTGGTTCGGTCCTAGTTTTGTCCTGGTTTAGCCCTGATTTTGTCCTGGTTTTGTCTTGGTTTTGTCCTGGTTTTGTCTTGGTTTTGTTCTAGTTTAGTCCTGGATTCATCTTGGTTTAGCCCTGTTTTAGACTTGGTTTTGTCCTGGTTTAGACCTAGTTTAGCCCTGGTTTAGCCCTAGTTTAGCCCTGTTTTTTTCCTAGTTTAGGCCTGGTTTTGTCCTGGTTTAGCCCTGGTTTATTCCTAGTTTAGTCCTAGTTTAGCCCTGGTTTAGTCCTGATTTGGACCTGGTTTAGAGCTGGTTTAGTCTTGGTTTAGACCTGTTTTAGACCTGCTTTAGTCCTAGTTTTATCCTGGTTTAGTCCTGAGACACCAGCACTTACTTTGTTTGCCTGAAAGAAAAATTACTATTGTCCAAAGTTTGTAAATCAGATGCACACGTTCCACACTTAAAGTCGCTCCTCCAACTCTTAATAAAACTGTTTTTCTTTTTCTCAGACAAAACCACAGTCTTCAATTTGCTGAAAAACTGTCACCAACACATGACCGCGTATCTGAAGGAGGACATCCCCGAGCGCCTCCATTATCGGAACAATCACCGCGTTCAGCCCATTCTCCTCATCGCTGACGAAGGCTGGACCATCGTGAAGAGCGGGAATGTGCTGCCCAGACGTACGGTTTATAACGTTTGACTGGAACTATTGTGGCGTGTGGCTCCTTGGGCTTCTTCTCTTCTCAAAATTAAGTCTAAATTCATATAAACTAAATAAAACCACTGAAATAAAATACAATTAAAATCATAAAATGGCCACAGATAAATAGAAATACATTGAAAAACTCATATTTAGTCTAACCACTTTTAAGTAAACCACAGTATGTAGCTTTTTTGCCAAAAACTAACTGAAAAAAGCCACATTATGTAACTTTTAGCCAGAAACAGACCAAAAAAAAGCTACAGTATGTAACTTTTTTAGCCATAAATAGACTGAAAAAGCCACAGTATGTAACTTTTTAAGACAAAAAACGATTGAAAAAAGCTACAGTATGTAAGTTTTTAGCCAAAACTGACTGAAAAAGCCACAGTATGTAACTTTTGGCCACAAATAATCAGTTAAAAGTTCTTTTTTGTGTGTTTATTGCACTGGAACAGTAGAAAAACATGCTTCCTCAGTCTAAACGGGCTTGCCTCTCCATAAACCTGTCTCTTATTTGGTCTGAAGGAGGGGCTTTTCTTGCTTGTTTCCATGGAAATTGTGTTCTGTTGGCTAGAATATTCAACAGTATGGCATAAAACATATAAATTTCCCCAGAAAATGTTCCAAAAATATGACAAGTACTAAATGCCTACTTTAATAAACAATAAAAATCAGCAACTTTTCTCTGTTTTTAGTTGGTGACCATGGTTACGACAACTCCTTACCCAGCATGCACCCCTTCCTGGTGGCGGTGGGCCCCAGTTTTCGTAAGGGATATCGGATCAGCTCCATCGAGACCGTAGACGTGTATCCGCTCATGTGTCGCCTCCTCTCCATGACCGGGAGGCCCAACAACGGCTCTCTGGCCCACACACAGTGCATGCTGTCCGGGGAGACGTGCTGGGACGTGCCCCTGGTGGTCGGGCTGGTGGTGGGCGTGCTGATCGTGCTGAGTACTGTTACTGGTGAGTTAGAGCTGTCGATATTCATGGCAAAGTTGGTGATTTTGAATATTTATAGTCACGTTTTTCTATAGCGCTTTACAACAAGCCCATTTTAATTTTATCTGCATTTAGAAATTAAAATGGGCTGTTTAAACGTTGCTATGTAATCTTATAAAAAAGGTTGTAAGTGGATGTTATTTTTCAGTGACTTTTATGCAATGCTTGAACCTAAATCAACACATAGTCCAATAGGGGTGTGCAAAAATATCGAAATATCAATATATCATATCATTTAATGTGATGATACAGTATCAATATCATGGGCTCTGTATCGATATATTGCCGAGAGTATTTTTTGGTTTATTTTACAAAATTATTTTGCTACAGTGCTACAATTTTGTTGTTTATTGGAAGCAAACTCGTTTATGCGACACATTTGTCATTTTCACAGTTTTGATGACTAAAATGTTTGTGTTTCATTTTAACTTTGTTAACTTTGCGCAAGAAGTCATTTAACAAAGACTTTTAGTATCACAGCCATGATTTAGCCATTGTTTTTTTATTGAACCACATCGAATCGCTGTGAAATATATCATATCGAATTGAAAGTGCACTGTATCGAGACATGTATCATATCGTGGCCTGTGTATCGAGGTATGTGTCGTATTGGCAACTTCTTAATGATACCAGCCCTATAGTCCAATGAAGTTCATTTTGTCTTCCAATAATTGATGTTTTTAGGTTCTTTTTTCAGACCAACAGTTTGTTTTTGAGCACAGGCATTGTAAGATTACTGTATATCAGGGGCAGAGCAATGAAAAAACACAATATCAACACATCAGTGAAACTGTACAGAAAACGAGCAATTACTCATCCACCCAAAAGATAAAATAGAACCGGAGCATTAATGTAATGTCATTTATGAAATAACCTGCATGTCTCTCAATAAAACATACATCGAGGAAACTGGGAGGGCGTTCAGTACACGAAAAAAGGAACATAGGACAGAATGCGAGAAGGAAACAACGAAGGTGTGCACTCGAGTAAAACAAAACACAAAGCAGAACAGGAACAACTCAAATTGGCCGTTTCAAAAGAGAGAACCACATTATGGACTGGGACGGAGCAAACATCATTGGGACAGAGGAAAACAAACACCGTCGCTGGATTAAAGAGGCAATCGACATACAGAAACGTGCCTACAGGACGATTAACCGGGACGAGAGGGCTTTTTTACTCTCACACACCTGGGATACTGTCCTGAGGAAGTCGGACTGCAGGTGGCGCTGTCATCCTGCCTCCACTGGTAGGAAGACAGTGCCAAAATCTGTTTAAATCAGCTGTCCAGACACGTCACAGCAACAAACTTGGTCTGAAAACGGAACCTAATAACATAAATCAACAACATGAATAGTCTGATCATAACATTGAAATATGGTTAAAGGTTTGCTATGCTGCTTTTCTCGTCGAAGATACGCCACCTGCTTTTTTCCATCGTTGGTCTTTTTTGATCAATTTAAGGTGATACTTTAAAACCCAAACATTTCCTGGGGTTTGGTGTGATATATTTTATATTAAAGATGCACTGTGAATGTTTTCTGGTCGAGGTTCTGTCACCTGGTTGTCTCCATGGAGATGCTATTTCTTTGCCTGGAATGTCCCACAGTGTAACATTTAATTAATCCATCTTGCATTTATAGAATTACGTGTTTTTATGACTCACAAACACTGTTAGGCAAGTTACTTCAAAACTGTAATGTGTTATTTATGTCTTGTTACTGTCATTTTAAAGTAATTTGTTACATTACAATATTACTGTATTTAAAATGTAAAACATTACACGACTATTGCAGAACTTTCAGTTACTCTCACCAAAATAACTGTGTGAAGATGCAGAACTTTTGCGATGTATATGGACTGAACCAGGACTGAACCAGGACTGAACCAGGACTAAACCAGGACTGAACCAGGACTAAACCAGGACTGAACCAGGACTGAACCAGGACCAGGACGAACCAGGACTAAACCAGGACTGAACCAGGACTGAACCAGGACTGAACCAGGACTAAACCAGGACTGAACCAGGACTAAACCAGGAGGACTGTACCAGGATAAACTAGAGCTAAACTAGGACTAAACTAGGATTAAACCAGATCTGAACCAGAACTGAACCAGGACTAAAAAAGAACTGAACCAGAACTGAACCAGGACTAAAAAAGACCTGAACCAGATCTGAACCAGGACTGAACCAGGACTAAAAAAGAATTGAACCGGAACTGTACCAGGACAGAACCAGGACTAAAAAAGAACTGAACCAGGACTAAAAAAGAACTGAACCAGATCTGAACCAGGACTGAACCAGGATTAAAAAAGAACTGAACCAGAACTGAACCAGGACTAAAAAAGAACTGAACCAGGACTAAAAAGAACTGAACCAGAACTGAACCAGGACTGAACCAGGACTAAAAAAGAACTGAACCAGGTCTAAACTAGGACTATGACTTGGAATCTAGAACCGCCCCTGACAGAACCTTGAGCCCGTGGAGCAGGGTGTCCGCAAAGTGCGATCGGGCGTCGGCTGCGCTTAGCCCCTCTGCGCCGGTCCTTTCGCCCGCGGTCACCCGACGGTCTACACGGCCAGATACTCCAGATAATCCAGATACTCTGAACCATAACTCTGGCGTTTCACCACAGCTGATATCGCGGTGACTTTAGAGAATTTGTATGACCCACCACTTCAATCCAGGCTAAAAAAGCACTGTGACACGCGTTACTCACATTTGTACCAAGTAAAATATTACCATTTTTTTCCCTGTAATGCCTTACATTACTGCGTTACAGCAAAAAGCAACGCATTACAGTAATTCATTACTTTTATAACACGCTACTCCCAACGCTGCTCACAAATAACATTACAATACAAGTGGGATTGACTTTTTTTAGATATGAACAATCCAGGCAAAGCAACAGCATTTCCATGGAGACAAACAGATGGTGAACCCTCCTCCAGAAAAGTTACACAGTGCACCATTAATCAATCTTTCTATTTTTTTTCCCAGTGCTGTTCAGATTCCTCGGCTGGAGACGACCTCGTACCATTCGAGACTTTCAGCGACTAAACGAAGACGACGACGACGACGATCCACTGCTGGAATAACTTTGAGTGAACCGTCTGCGGTATGAAGCAAGCTGCACTTTACTGTCAACAACTTCAAGGTTCTGACACTGGATACAACTATTTGAAATGCCTTTTTGACTACTGAGTTTTGAGGATCTGCTGCTCCACATGTTTCTGATATTTATTTTCAATTTGAGGGAAGATCATAGAGGATCTTAATATCTATTAGGAATATAAGGAAAAGCTAGTTTGGAATTTTAAGTCCAGCTAAGGGAGTTAATGATTTAATTTTTTGTTTCTGTTTGTTGTTTCTTATGTTGCCAGAAGAGGGCGCTGTACATCCAAGTTTGGAGGTATTCCAAAATTTATAGTGAAGAATTATAAGGAAAAAAAGGTTTGAGAAATTTCATAAAAGCTAGTTTGTAATTCTGGTAACACTTTATTTTATGGTACACTTATTAACATCTAACTACCTGCTAATTAAAGTAGCTGTAAATGATTAATTTGTCATTAATTACTATTTATTGAGCTTTTTAATGTGTAATTCCCCACAATTTCAATGGTTTTCGAGATATCACAATTTAATTTTTTCACTTTTTGCATGGTCGCCGAATTTCAAATTGCATTTACGCAGCAATAACAAGGTATTTCTGGAAAGGTTACATCATAGGGAATCCTATTCTGGCGTTTATTTTTGCATTTGAGTACTTTTGAGATGAATTACCTTTTGACCTATAGTTTGACCTTGAAATTGATGGTAAGGGACTCACCCGACCTCAGTGACACCAGTAGAAAAAAATGTAGCCCTATATGTTTACTACAACATATAAAAAATCTGGAGGGGCTTTCTTTTTTATTCTCACACAAATTTACCTAGAAGTTGACTTACCCCCATCTTAAGACATGCTAAATATAAATGAAATGAGAAAAAAAAATAAATATAAAAATGAAATTGCGATATCTCAGCAACCATTGGTCCGATCATGCAAAAATTTTAGATTTTGGCTTTCTTGGCTTTCTATGACTTACCCATACACCAATTTTCTTTGCAATTGGACAATGTGAGTGTTCAAATTGCAATTTTTTGGGGGTGAATTGAGGTGGAATGACCCTAATAGGGAGTGTTTTATTACATAAGAGTAAGATAAATGTATTAAGTGTAAATAAGTAAAAGCTACATTTCTTGTGTAACTAGTCCTTAACAACACACTTATTACCAAACGCTTATTAGAAGCATAATTCATGGACAAAAATGGCTTAATATCATATATAAGGAGTGTATTAATTGGAAAGTGTTTGTAAATGTGTAACTAATAGCAGAATAATCTTATGGGGTAATTACACATTAATAAGAGCTGAATAAATACTAATTAGTGACAATTTAATCATCTACAACAATGCTAATTAGGAGGTAGTTAGATGTTATTAAGTGTACCCTAAAATAAAGTGTTACCGTAATTTTAAAGAGCCCATGTTACGCTATTTTCTGATTTATGTTATAATGTTGTTTCCTCATCACAAACAGACCTGGAGTTGTGTTTTGTTTCATTCACACATGTTTAATTAACACACAAACTCTGCAAATTTAGGGTGAGTTCTTCTCTCAAACTGAAAAAAGTGTTACTCAAACTGTGTGAATGAAACAAAACACAACTCCACGTATGTTTTTGATGCAATAACAACATTAAAAATGATTTAAAGAGTCAGTTTTGTGTAAGGGAGCAAAAATAATTTCTCATAATTAACTTCTTTGTTACTTGTTGTTTCTTATTATGCCAGAGGAGGGCGCTGTATATCTAAGTATTGCGCTATCTGAAAACGTAGGGATAATTATTACCGTAGTGAAACGTGAAAAAACGTCCATTTCAAGAATTTTAAGAATGGAAAATGTATGCAATAATAATTTTTCATTTTATCAATTGTGTTGCTGTATGTTTTGCCAAATGTTTAGTTTGTTTTTAATTATTTTGCTCTTAATTTCACACCAAAGACACAAGAGTAAAAAAAATCTGAAGGGAGTTTGATAGAAATTATGTGATTTAAATGTATGTACATATATTATTTATCCACAGTTACGTTTGCACTGGGATTTCGTGTTGATGCTCCAGGCGTTGCTTTTCAAGGTCACGCTGACACACATAAGAAACATAGGAAAAAGCCATATTTAAAATCCTGTTGTTTTTAAAATGTTTCTTAAATATGCAACTAAATGGAAAAAGTCAAATTGCTGATGTTGACAATCTCTTAATAATGTTACTCGTGAATAATGTATGTTTTTGTGTAGCTTGGTTCTGGTTTGAGTCCAGTTTAGTCCTGATTTTGGTTTTGTTCTGGTCCTGTCCCTGGTCTAGTCTCTGGTTTAGTCCTGGTCTAGTCCTGGTCTACTCTTGGCTTAGTTCTAGGTCTAGTCTTTGGTCTAGTCCTGGTCTAGTCCTGAGCTAGTCCTGTTCTAGTCCTGTTCTAGTCCTGGTCTAGTACTGGTCTAGTCTTGGTCTATTCTTTGTCTAATCCTGATCTAGTCTTGGTCTAGTCTTGGCCTAGTTCTAGGTCTAGTCCTGGTCTAGTCCTGGTCTAGTCCTGGTCTAGTTCTGGTCTAGTCCTGTTCTAGTTCTGGTCTAGTCCTGTTCTAGTCCTGTTCTAGTTCTGGTTCACTCTTGGTCTAGTTCTTGGCCTAGTTCTAGGTCTAGTCTTTGGTCTAGTCCTGGTCTAATCCCGAGCTAGTCCTGGTCCCATTCTAGTCCTCTTCTAGTCCTGATCTACTCTTGGTCTAGCCTTGGTCTAGCCCTGGTCTAGCCCTGTTCCAGCCCTGTTCCAGCCCTGTTCCAGCCCTGTTCCAGTCCTGTTCCAGTCCTGTTCCAGTCCTGGTCTAGTCCTGGTCTAGTCCTGGTCTAGTCCTGGTCTAGTCCTGGTCTAGTCCTGGTCTAGTCCTGGTCTAGCCCTGGTCTAGTCCTGGTCTAGCCCTGGTCTAGCCCTGGTCTAGCCCTGATCTAGTCCTGGTCTAGTCCTGGTCTAGCCCTGGTCTAATCCTGATCTAGTCGTCTTAAATCCTGGTCTAGTCCTGGTCTGTTCCCTAAACTCTGGTCTATATTGTAGTTCTGATGTTACTTGCATGTTTTGTGTTGCTGGGTTGAAAAGTAATAATTTCTGCTTGTGTAAATATTTTTTTCTGTTCCAGCTCTAGCATTTTTATAATTTTTTTTTTCAACTGAAATTCTTAAAACAAGGTCATAGATCAAAATACTTTGCAATTTTTTTGTTTTGACCATTTAAATTTTACATCCATGTTACTGGGTTGCCATGGCAATCACCCAAATTTAAGTATTAGTAATATGACGATTCAAGGTTATTCCTTCCTTCATTTATATTGAATCATGTTTTAAATGTTTGTAATATTATTTTTTATATATTGTTCACAAATTGTGCAACTTTCTACACTTCTTTAGTGGCTTTAACTGCACGAAACTAACAATTTTCGGTGTTACTGGTGAATTTTGCCTTGACAATCATAGATATTTGTTACTGAAACAAAAAAATGATGATGAAAATATAACTGTTTTGACTGTGCACTGTGTAACTTTTCTAGTGGAGGGTCTGCCACCTGCTTGTTTCTATGGAGATGTTAGTGTTTTGTCTGGAATGTCCCGGTATGTTTTTTTACTGTCCTAAAAACTTTCATTATTCCGTGTTTGGGCTCGCCTCTCCACATATCTGACATGTAACTTGGCCCTGTGGTGTCACCCGCCGTCTCCGTAGAGATAAGTAAGTTTAATGCCATACTGTGGAACATTCTAGACTATATCTCCGTGGAGAGAAGCATGCGACGGACCCTCCTGTGTAACATTTCTGGTGGAGCGTCTATCAGATGTTTTTCTCCATGGAGAGGTTATTGCTTTGTCTGGAATGTTTGACAGTATGGCATTAAACCTTTCTATCTCCGTGGTGATCTGTGAAATTTTGAGCTATAAAACCACCTGTAATTGTAAAAATAAATGTAAAGCAGAGCTGTTTAATGTCATACTGTGGAACATTCCAGGCAGAGAAATGACACATTCATAGAAACAAGCAGATGACAAGCCCCAATCTGTGTGTCATTCTTTTATTTGTTTTTCAATATAAAACCAAAAATAAGAAAACTGAAAAACAACAATTTTCTTCAATATTTGTCTCCAAAACCAAAATGAAAAAACAGATAACGATTTGTTTTTTTTTCAGTTTTCGATTTTGTGTTTAAATGAATAATGGAAAAAAACGGATAACGGCCGTTTCCCTTTTCCAGACTTAAACTGCGATGCCGGACTGAACCAGGACTGAACCAGGACTGAACCAGGACTGAACCAGGACTGAACCAGGACTGAACCAGGACTGAACCAGGACTGAACCAGGACTGAACCAGGACTGAACCAGGACTGAACCTGGACTAAGCAAGGACTAAACCATTTTCAGTCTCAGTCTCTCCCGGTCTGGTCGCGGTCTCGGTCCTAGTCCCGGTCTGGTCACAGTCTGGTCCCGGTCTCAGTCCCGGTCTCGTCACAGTCTGGTCCCGGTCTCAGTCCCGGTCCGGTCTCAGCCTCAGCCCTGCTCTCAGTCCCGGTCTGGTTGCGGTCTGGTCACGGTCTGACCCCAGTTTCAGTCCTGGTCCGGTCTGTGTCTCTGTCCCAGTCTCTGTCCTGGTCTGGTCCCAGTCTGGTCCCGGTGTAAGTCCCGGTCTAGTCCCGGACCTGATTTAGTCCTGGTTCAGTCTGGCATCGCAGTTTAAGTCACGAAAACGAGGAACAGCCGTTATCTGTTTTTTTCCATTATTCATTTAAACACAAAATCAGAAACTAAAAATTCAAATCATTATAAGTTTTTTCATTTTGGTTTTGGAGACAGATAATGAAGAAAATCGCTGTTTTTTTCCTTTTCTTTATTTTTGGTTTTATTTTGAAAAACAAATGAACAAATGACACACGGTTTGACCCCCGATGCTCCTTTAAATCTCGTATGCTGCATTGTTTGTACTTTGTCTTGAATGTTGCTGCTGATATTGCACTCCTTGCATTTTGTTACTATGCAAATTATGGCCAATGGAAGATTTTTTGCCACATTTGAGATTTTAAATAAATAATAAATAAATAAATAAATAGAAATAACCATTGAGAATTTCTGTGTTTTATTAAATCAAAATATTTAAAAGTGAATGGCAACTCCACACAGACACACATTTTGAAAAATTAATTTATATATTATTTTATCTCATAGCAGTCACGTTACAATGTATTAAATATAGAAAACTCAATACTGACGCTTATAGTACATCTCTCTACCGTGTTCAAAATCTGTCATAGCTTTTGTATTTGTAATATTGTAAATTTCTTCACAGATAAATAGATTTCTGGAGGTAACAAAAATAATACGTACATTTGCTAACACTGGCCCCGAACAAAACACCTTTTTAAAAATATCATCTTTCCTAAACATATATATATTGTACAGACAAACTTGAGATATTTCTTGCCTTGTGTGGTCGGAAAATTGAGTTTGGGAACATTCTGAGTGACTTGGGAATTTCGTGTAGATTCCCGGTTGTGTTTTTGATGAGTTTATGCAGGAGTAGTTTAAATGATGACAGTAGCCATTGTCAAGACTGAAAAAGTCATAGAAGAAGAAAAACCAGGCGGCCATATTGGAACTGTATTAGAAAATTTGACAACATTTAATTTTTGTTTTCAAATCGAATCATTAGTTGTTTCATTTACTCTAATCTGTAATTCTTCTTTTCCAGCTTTGCCTGTTTCTCTTGTTATTAATATATTTTTAATTGCTGTTTAAAAATTGTAGGTTAAATATTATAGTTGCAAATTTAGAAATGTTATGTTAGAAATTTGGGTCTTTTCAACTCAAAAATATGAATTGTAAAAATATTAAATGATTTTTTTTTTCTTATTACGACTTTGTTTATCATGGAAATAATTATCTAAAATTTTCACAAAATAAAAAAAAATACTTTGGATCAATATAAGATTCTTAAAGGGAGAAAGTGAACAGAAAATGTTGGTTTATTATTAATATTATTTCAAATTTCTTTCCCGATCTGCTCAAATCAGTATAAATTTTAAAGTTGCACTGTGTAACTTCTCTGGATGGGGGTTCCACTTCCTTACTTATATCCATGGAAACCAGCACCGGACCAAGTTCCAGGTCAGATCTGTGGAGAGGGGACCCTGCTCACAGTAAGAATCACACATTTTTTTCAAGATATTTTTTAACATTACAAGCACATGTAAGTGAATAAACGCAAAAAAGTTGAATGCGGTACTTTGAAATATTCCAGGCTAGGTTTAAACATCTCCATGGAGACGAGCAGGTGGCGGACCCTCCTCTAGAGAAGTTACACAGTTTGCGTCTTTAAAAACAAAGCGTACATGGGTTTTCTTTAGTTTTTGTTGGGTTTTTGTTGCGTTTCGTTATAACTCTTATATTTGAGTTGAGCTAGCCTGAAAATTTTGCGAAAACGCTTTTTGCAGATATAAACAAACTCGGATCACAGTTCAAAATGGCCGTTTGGTGAATTTCCTCTCCGTAGACTTGCTGTTGTCTCTACACATCTATTTGAGTGGTTCTACTCAATGACAACACAGTGGCACAGACTCCTACAGACAACATAGTCACTTCTCTGGTCATACATTCTCATATTAATTATCAACAGTTACAAGTGGCACAGTTTACCCAAAAAAGCACCTATAAGCCAACAAATATACAAAAACGTATGTACAAAAACCACAGGAAATTAAAGTTCAGCACGTAGAATCTCTATAGCTACTTCTTGCGTTTCAAAATAAAAGCTTTTGCTAGAGAAAGATAACATCCATGACTTGTTTGACCTGTGCTTAAAGTTTTCCAGACCTGAGCCAAGTTGCTAAAAATCCACAAATTTCAAGTGGATTCTAGCGGCAAAGATTCAGATTTGGGTGAGGAAAAACTGGACAGTGGACAATGTGAAACTGACATCGATTTTTGAGTCGTTAAACCACAGAAAACACGAAAAGATGATAATTTTTCAGACATTGCGTAGTCGAGAAGTTGCATCCATTCATTGTTACCCTGTTTTTCCATCCCGACTAAGTTAGACAAGCCAAAAATAAATCAAACGAAACTTAAAAAAAACAACAACACTGACGTAAATATTGTAATAAAGGCTCTGGTTTGATGACAAGATCGACAGTTTATATCAAAGCTGCACTGCGTAACCTTCCTTTCTGATATCGGAGTCCACTATCTGCTTGTCTCTGTGGTTATTTCTTGGCCAAAAATGTTCCGCAGTATGGCATTACATGTATCTAAGCCGGTTAACAGGTCACGAGTCAGATCTGTGAAGAGGCGACGATACTCACAGTGAAAATACAAGTCGTTTCGCGTATTTCTGAGCAGTACAAACACAAGACGTACCCAAATTAAACGCTAAATAGATACGTTTAATGCCATACTTGGGAACATTTCAAGCAAAGAAATACAAATAATTTCCAGAGAGACACGCAGAAGATGAAAAAATTACGCAGTGCGACTTTAAGTTAAAACAAAATACAAAAATAACACTTAAAATTGCACATAAACTTATTTGGTTGTGTAACACCTGATTTGTTTAACCTGATAGACTATAATGTGAGGAATGATTGTTTCAAAGATCAAAAGTCAAAACTGACACATAGCCTACAGAAGCTAGCGGGGCTGCTGCTATGCTAAGCTAAAAACAACCTCCCTTTATTTTATTTATTTATATTTTTAACAAACAATCTAGAAGCAAAGCATTTCCTACGGGAGCAGACGTGCCCTTGAGTCTACAACATTCATGCAAAGTATTCACAATAGTGTTTCTAGATGGCACATGTCCTATCACAGTACATGTAGGTTGGATTTTTCTGTTTTTCTTTCAATGTACAATGCGGTCGATGCCTGTTTGTTTTTAACGCAAAGAGCCTGGCCAGTCAACCGACCAATCAGGATCGCTTGTTCAAAAGAGGGCGGGGTTTATGTAATTGATTCTGTCTCTGATTGACCGGAAGAAGTTTGGAAACACGCGGATGATGACTTTCTTTGGGCTATGTTGACGAAAGTAACTGTGGGAAAACTGAGAAAATGTCCCGGTTTTCTTCATGTACATGTCATTGTATTCTTTCTTTTTCCTTTTATAAATTGCCGATTAATTTGTGTGTTACAATTTGATTTGGGAGACGCAATTAATCTTTGTCAGGTTGTGAAGACGGTTGCTGATGAATCCACGGTTTTATCGCATGCTCAGTGTTGGGAACTACACCGGAAGTCGTCATCCACATGTTTGCAAACATCTTCAAGTACGCGTGAATTGAGCCTACTGGTTTTCAAGATGGATAATTGACAATTATGCATAGACTGTATAAAGACGTGGACCATGAATTGTATATATAAACTTGGACATAGCAAACCCACAAGCCGCTGCGCTACAAATAGGAAGTTCGCTCCATGGATCTATTAAAATAACTGGATAGGGTCTTGCTGCTTGTACCTGCGTCCAGTTGACGTAGGAGCTACTCGCTGGTACTTCAGCTGAAAAAATCCCCTGGGCCAAGAAAGGATTTTTCTCATAGAGCACAATATAATCACAAACTGCTCATGTTCAGCTGACAGGGACCTACAACTTTCAAAAATGTTGGATTCTGTGGTGATTTTTACCTACTTTTAAATCATACGCTTTTTCTCATCTTAAAATCTTTCAGTTGTCTTAAAAAACGCTTTATAATCGTTAGCTCCTCTCACTCTGATTGGTCAAAGCAATCACGTGATACACAAAACCGTGCTCCGTGTGCCCGCAGGAAAAAACAGCACTACTGCGCATACTCAATTGGCCCAGACCCACTGGAAGTACCTCGCCGGGCTAAAGGCGAATCTGGAGTCATGCGCCATTGAGCTCGGCCCTTTGACTTGAATAGGCGACCATTTTGTGACCCCGGGGCTTGGGTTCATCTGACGTCACCTGTAGTGTTCTGCTCCAGTCAAATGAAGCTCATTGAGGCTTGCAGTTATAGAGGCACATTTGGAGCAGAGTTCCACATTTGGAAATCCGACCACGAGTACCATAGCAACCAATGAAAGAGCCAATCCGGAGAGAGCCTGTTGGAGGTAACGCCCCTTCCTGCTCGCACTGCTGCTTTTTGTTGCTAATGGTGCCTTCACATCGTATGGTGATTATCATAAATACCAAAAAACGACATAAAAATTGCACATGAACACCCACACTCACGTCATAATTTTCACTGGAAAGCTGGAAGATTTTTATGATACACGAGCTGCCGAGATGAGATAAAATTTGACCTTTCAACGTGGCGGAAAGCAGCGAAACGGTCGTCAATTTTGGTAAGAACTAACTAACTAACTAACTAATTAGTCCTCACTCTAAGCACTGCATTCTGTTAAACGTCCTCTAATAATAATTATCTAATTAATAACATCGAACATTTACACTTGTTATTAAAATAAATAAAAATGTAATTAAATAGTAAAACCCAAGTCTGGGTCAGGGTCTGCCATGTTTCACTTCACTACGACAACAAAAGCACGTGAACACAACACACTCGTAATTTCCACTTTCCACAAGAAGTTAATTTTTCCCACACCACGTGAAGGCAGCATAACACTAGCAAGGGTGTGAAAACATCTTATTTAGCTGTTATTAATGTTCATATCTTGACTTACGGACAAAATATAGCTAAATAAAAACACCAGAATCATGTAGAGTGGGTTGATATGAACATTTTAAGACCAAAATGAGGACTCTGACGTTTTTAAATATAACGTAAATTAGAGCCAGAGTCGAGGGAGCCGTCTATTTGTAACGTAGCGGCTAGCAGGTTAGCTATGTCCATTTATATATACAGTCTATGCATTTATATCAAACCTACTTCCTGATTGGCAACTGTTTTATCCAATCACGTTCAGTCTAGCTCAGTTACTCCCGCCTCTTGCGAACAAAACAAACCCAAATGTTTCGGACGGCTCGCCAGGCCACATCGCCAAGAGTGAACAAAAGCGAGCTAACGCCATGGCATACACTGTTGACGTTTTTACACTTACATCGACTTGATAAGGCAAGTGAAATCTTACACCGACAAAACAACAAAAA